GGGAGGGAGAACTGCATGATGACCATAAACTGTCAGGTCTGGGCGGAAGTTGGGCAAGGGTTCCACTGAGAGGGGGCTCTGACCTAGGCCCAGGACAGGAAGTGGCTCCCAAATGAAGGGCCCTGCCAGGTGGCCCCTAAGAAAGAATTAGGTGATGAAGTAGAGGCCAGCTTTGAGGCTCACCCTCCAGATGGAGAGGGAACAGCAGCCACTGAGAACAGGAAGTAAGAGAGAACTGGGCTAAGGAGGAACTGAAAGAGGCTCTGTATTCTTGGCACTTAGGGTTTTTAGGGGCTTGAGGAGAGAACTGAAGATCAGAGTAGGTTGGCAAATGGGAGTGGCTTGAGATCATCACCAAGACTCCTGTAAGTCCACCAAGGTGTCACTACTGAAGTCAGCTTTCCAGCAGGCTTTTACTGGATTTACTGCCTTTTCTCCATGGACCCCCACCTCCATGCCCCAGGTACAGTGCCAAGACTGAGCTGGCCAGCCAGCTCCAAAGACTCTGTCTTCTGTGCTCTCTGGTCTGGTCTAGGGATCTGATGTGTCAGTATGTAGGATGGTCGAAGAAGCATTGAAGGCAGCCTGGCAGAAAGGGCAGCAGCACTTCTGGCTACATGGAGGAGGGAGGCCTTGCTAGACAGGCAGGGTTTAGAGATATGGGGACCAGGCCTTAGTCACTGCAGGATCCCTTTCAATACTGCACCAGCATTTAGTGATGATCCCTTGGGTCTCTTGCTCCCATGTCTTTCAATTGGCTCTGGTAAAACTTCACAGGGACGTTACATGCAGTGCTCTTTACTGCCCAGTATAATGCACGGCACCTAGCAGACACCCATGTGAATTTGCTGATAAAGAAATAAACTTCATTCTTAGAGCCCAGAGGCTGGTGAACAAGGAAGGGCACCTGGGTAGTGTCTGCCTCTTAGAGTTTTGACTACTGCTTGTTACCTCCAAGCACTGAGCCTCCGGGCTAGCTGAACACACAGCCAGGTAAGTCCTGTATCTCAATTCCCCAGCACTTTGGCAGGATCTGTTGAAATTGAGGGTGTGTGCAGGCACATATTTGTAGAAATGCAGGCAGTGGCAAAAATGTGACTATGCACACCCCTGAGCCTTTCAGCAATGGGAACCACTTACAGGTGCACCAAGAGGGAGGGGCTGTATAGGCAAGACCTTTCTACACCACATGGAAGTTATATGGACCCCTTGAAAGGAAATGGCAGGGGGCGGATTCCCCACTACTTTGTAGCATGAAAAAGCAGGGTCCCAGCTGGTTGTCACACAAACCTGTAATCCCAGTATCTGGGAGGCTGAGGCAAAATTTGAGGATCCAAAATTTGATCCCAGCTTCAGCAATTTAGCAACGAGACTCTGTCTCAAAATGAGGAAGAAAAAAATTTAAAAGGATCGGGGCTGTCACTCATTGTGAAGGCCCTAGTTCAATTCTCTTATTGAAGAAAAAAAAAAAGAGAGAAACAGCATTTGTTTGCTTTTGTAAAACACACACACACACACACACACACACACACACACACACACACACACCTATACATATGATCTAAAGAAAAAATACACAAGCCCGGTGCTTTCCAAGAGTGACGACTTTGAGGGTGGTGGGCATCGTGCACTGAGTGCAGTTGTGTGCCTGGCAGTCGGTGACCACCAGTGAGCAGGTACGATGTGCTTCATAGTTTCCAACAGTTCAGATTATCTCATTACATCTTCACACAACACCATGAATGAATGAATTTTTTAAAAAGCCAAAGAAGGGGCCGGGGATTTAGCTCAGTGCTTCTGCCACCTGCCTTGCAAGCACAAGAACCCGAGTTCGATCCCTGGCACCAAAAAAAAAAAAAAAAAAAAAAAAAAAAAACCACACAAAAGCGAGAGGAG